ATAGTAAAAGTGTTGAAAGTGTTAAAAAAGTTGGAAATTTTTAAGGTATTAGTAAAGGTAAAGATGTTTAAAAGATTAAAAATATTAAGAATATTAAAAATGTAAACAATGTCAAAAATGTTAAAAATGGAAAAAATGGAAAAAATGTAAAAAAAGTAAAAAAAAAGGTTAAAAGTGTTAAAACTGTTTGAAATATTCAGAATATTGAGAGTATTGAAAATGTTAAAAATATTTAAAATAGTAAAAATGGGGCCAGTGTAGCCGGTGAGGTGGTAAAATCTTGGAACGGTTCAGGTGAGCTGGGGGCACTGGTGGCACTGGTGGCACTGGTGGCACTGGGAGAATCGGTATCCCTGGTATCACTGGGAACACTGGGAGCACTGGTGTCCCTGGTGTCCTTGCTGTTCCTGGTGTCACTGGGACCACTGGCGTCCCTGGTATCACTGGGAACACTGGGAGCACTGGTGTCCCTGGTGTCCTTGGTGACACTGGTGTCACTGGGGGCATTGGCAGCACTGGTGGCTCTGGTGTCCCTGGGAATCCTGGTGTAACTGGTAGCTCTGGTGCCACTGGGAGCACTGGTGTTACTGGTGTCCCTGGTGTCACTGGTGTCCCTGGGAACCCTGGTGTAACTGGGCACTGGTGCTACAGATGTCACTGGTGTCCCTGGGGACATTGGCAGCACTGGTGGCTCTGGCATCCCTGGGAGCCCTGGTGTAACTGGGAGCACTGGTGTTACAGATGTCACTGGTGTCCCTGGGGGCACTGAGAGCACTGGTGGCATTGATGTTACTGGTGGCACTGGTGTTCCTGCTGTCCTTGGTGGCTCTGGGAGCGCTGGTGTCCCTGGTGTCACTCTTGTAACTGGGAGCACTAATGTCCCTGGTGGCCCTGGGGTTACTGGTGTCCCTGGGAACACTGGTGTCACTGGGAGCACTGGTGACACTGGGGGCACTGGTGTGCTGGCATCACTGGTGGCACTGGCGGCCCTGCTGTCCCTGGGAGCTCTGGTGTCACTGGGGTCCCCAGTGCTCTTGGGGTTACCGGTGTCACTGGGAGAAGTAGTGTCCCTGGTATCACTGAGGGTACTGGGAGCACTGGTGTAAGTGGTGTCACCAGTGTCCCTGGTGTCACTGAGAGCACTGGCGTCACTGGTGGCCCTGGTGTAATTGGTGTCACTGGGACCACTGGTGTCCCTGGGGACATTGGCAGCACTGGTGGCTCTGGCGTCCTTGGGAGCCCTGGTGTAACTGGGAGCACTGGTGTTACAGATGTCACTGGTGTC